AAAAAAAAAAAAAAAAAAAAAACACATCATAGTAAAACCAATACCTTCTCAGCTTCGCATCGAAGCTAAAAAGTTTATAAACAATTATTATAATTAAAAATGTATATTTAATATTTGTACCTAAATGGAAATTTTAGTATTTATATAATCTTATTTATTAAATTAATATGATTTAAGAAATAATTTGGTACACGTAATAAATGATTTTTACAGTACACCGATAGTAAAATTTTATTTTACAAAATGTATGTATTAAGAATGTTTCATTGTATAATTTTATTATATATATTATTATAACCTTAAATTGACCAACAAAAATTTATTAAACAATTAATTTTTAAAATGTATATTTTATAAATAATAATACTTTAAATTAGTTTTATTATAAGTTTTCGATCATTAAAAATGAAATTTGGAATAATTTGATAACCGCAAATATTAAAATATGTTTCACGGGATTATTTCTACCTTTTTCAAAGAATATCTACGTTTCAGTTTCAAAACAACTGAACGTATAAATACATTTTTTTCAAAATATAACTGCCCATATTTATAAGACCTAAATTTTTTGTTCCATCTAATATACGGATTTTTGCACTTTGTGGACAAATCACTTCAGGTTTATCAAAGTGCCGTTTCTTTTCACTAACAAACAAGCAAATGTGTTCTTCTACAATGATAAAAGATTTTGACTGCATTTTCAAAGGATGTTTTTTTGTAATACACTTATTTTGTAACTTAAAATGATCTAAGGATTCTATTTTAATTCTATCTTGTTCAATTAGACTTGGCAGCTCTCTTGGTATGTAATCATCACTCTTTTTACCGTAGTGTCTAATTCCATCTCGGAGTTTGATATAACCATATTGAGTTTTTGTTCCAATATCTCCATATTGTCGAACGATTCACATACACGATGTTTATACTTTACAATGAGGTATTGATAGAGTTTATATAAAATGACTAGAAATATCCAAAATGAATAACAAGATAGATGGCAGAGCTGAATTAAACCTATCAAAAAATCTTTCCAGTTTTTGATCATCTTTTCAAATTATAAACTCTGTAGAGATGATAAATTTTGATGTGAGTACGCAAGTTTTATTTAGTAATCGTAGAACTGACGATTGAATTTGAATAAAATAAATTAACACGACTAATTATCGTTTTAAAGCTATGGAAACCAATTTTAGTATTATAAAAAAAAATATATTTACAGTTAAATATATTTAATCTTAAAAAATAGCAAAATAAATTATAATAGAAACTAATTAATTTATTTATTAATATATTTTTTTAATGTCGAAACTCTCATTTTGTTATATTTTAGGGTGACTTTAACAATTAATGAAAATTAAGATGAATTTAATTAATAATTTAATTTCAAACTTGAAAGCTAAAAGTTGTATAATATATTTTTTTTTATATAATATTAACTTTCCAAAAACAACTTTAAAGAACTAAAATAATAGGTTAAAAATGACATTTTACATTAATTATATTAACATATTAAAAATCAAAATAAGTTATAATTTTTTTGTTTGTTTTTAGTTATTTTTTTATACATAAATACTTATCTTATAATAATTCGTAATAATATCAAAACTTAGAAGTGATTGAAAAAGTCTGATTTCAGAATTAAAAAGCATTGTAGAAATTTGATTTAGAAAAGAATATTTTTAATTCAGATGAAAGTTCCTTGTAAACTAGTGTATTAATTCATAAGTAAACAAATTTTTTTTTATAAAGTATTTCATCAAGCCCTTTAATTTTTATTCATGTTTTCCATAAAAATAACAAAATATATTATTTTATAATTGTTTAAAATTTCTCCGTAAAAGTTAGATTACAAAATTATTAAATATAAAATTCATACCCCATTGTGCTATCGTTTTTTTCTTTACGTTTCCAAAAAAATAGTGGAATTTTCGTATAAAATTTTTACTACTACCAGTGTAATAAACCAAAAATAAAAAAAGAGAATAATTTATTAAAGTAGAGAAAGCATAGATTAAATTGTGGTTAATAAATAATTAAATAAAATAAAAATAAATAGAACGTTCTTAGTTATATTAATTATGTGGTTTTTATTATTAAATTATAACAAAAATAAAAATTAAATGTCTCGTCTATAATATTTATTATATGATTTACACATTCATTGTTTCTCTTATTAATTATTAATTTTTCTATTTCATTTTTATTAATGGTTTATTACGCAATAGATTGTTGGGGATTCGAAAGCATAGATTAAATTGTACTTACCTTACGTCCTGTGTGATACAATAATATTTCAAATGATCCAACGTTGATCTTGGTATTAAACGCACTACATATACGATTTATATTATACGTCATATAGTCCATATAATTACTTACAAAAACTATTCAAAATTTTAAATAATAAGATTTAATTACACAAAATCTACGACTGACTTTACTTGTAAATGATTCTAAACACTCTATATTTTATTATCAATATAATTTTTATTTTTATTTACTTACTGATTTTTTTTACGTCTGTTGAATAAGTAATTTTTTTTAGAGAGTATATTTTATTGAGAGATCGACACCAATATTTCTTAAATTTTCCTCTGGCCTGGCCAAAACAAAATTCAGAAATATTTATATCTATGTAAAAAATTTATCAAGGCAGCATTGTGGTGGCCCAATGTGTCCCGGCGCTAAAAAGCACCTTGAAAGGATGCGGCACAATAATCATCAATACAAAAATTGAACACTAAAAATATTATTTGACATTTATTTCCACAACAATAAAAAATAAAACATTATTTAATGAACAAATTAAATTAAATTAAAAGATTCATCAAAACAAAACTCATTTTAAAATTTCTAAGTGTCATTTAGTTTTAAAGAAAAATATTCAAAGTCCAAATTAATTAAAAAATCGACTAAGTCCCGAAAAGTGAAATCTTGAGTAGAGTGTTGTAGATTTTGTGTATTTAAATATCGCCGAAAGAACTGGTTTAGACGGGGAATAATGACTTTTTATAGTCTGAAGGGGGTAGTCCGGCGATCTCTACCGTGATCCTGGAAGCTGAGACTTTGTATTCTAATTGGTTAATTAAAAGAGGGTCCTGCGTGTACGCGTTACTTAATAATTTCTACAAGAGGGAGATTTTTTGCATTATTAAAGGGTTATTTTGTATTTTAAATAAGAGAACCCTGTTTTGGTGATCTTGTATAATCATAATATGTGACATACATGTACAAATGATAACATCATATTATATGTTAATATTATATGTAATAATATAATATTACACCAGTAGTAGTTTTATAAAGTATGAGCTAGAACCCCCCCCCCCAACCAACATGACGTGGGTTTACTCTGCCATAGGTTGACGAGGGTGTAAACGGCCGGGGGAGGATATGGTGAAAGGTTATGGTCACCTTTTCAAGAAAGGTTAAGAGTATAATGGAGGGGCTCTTCTCTCTCTCTTGACAGTAGATATCACAAGTATGGGAGGTTAATCTACATGTGAGGGTATACCATAACATAGGAAGAGGCATATACTTTGAAAAAATTAATAATTTATTAGAAATTAATTATTAAATTGTAATTATGAGATAAAAATGATTAAGTCGTGAAGGAATGGGGTTAATATACGAGGATATATGTTTTGCGATTCGCCGAGGTAATAATTGATTTTGTTACATTTAATGAGTATTTTGCATAAAAGACGAATTATTACTCGCGTAAAATAAATAGCGTTGTGTCAGTTAAACGTCTTAAAAATGCTTTCTTGTGACAAGTGTGAAAAAGAGTACGTTGCCAAAAAACTGTTTGATGAGCCATAGGAAAATACATGATGGTATACGATTTAAGTGTTATTTATGCTCATCTACTTTTTCGGACAAATGCGCACTTATACAGTTATCATAATATATGTAGTGTATACCCTGGTATATTCATAGTATACCGAGGTAGATGGAACATATATCATATATAGTATATCTTGATATATTACAGAAAATTGGAGGTATTTTGAAAATTACATAATTTTAGAAATATGTAAAAATATTTTAATGCAGAAAAGTAAAAGGTGTAATTAAGCGGTGACGGCGTCTATTAATCCAACGAAACCCAACTATAGCTATGTGACGTGTATGCCTTTTACCATAGAGAGACTCCTTCCTTGACTAACGTATGTATTGAAACAGTAGATTTGCGGTTTACCCTTACATAGAATGGGAGATGATGATGAAACTCATCATAAGGTGATCATTATTATGATATTAAAGTAAATAAATAAATATGTACAATATTATACTATTTCATAAGAAATCAGTTATTTTGTAATTAAAGTGAAAATATTTAAACGTTAGAAATAATATCTTATTAAATTCTTTTTTGATTATTCAGTCACACTACAGCGTTTGTTAATATATATCCGTTTATTGATTTGTGCCGTTGGCGTTAGGTCATTTAATTACTACGTTAATACATTTTTTTGTAAAATTTATGAAAAATACCTACTTAATTTAACTAAGGAGTCCGAAATCTATTCCTAAATGTTTTACTCATTTTTTCACTCTTTATAAATAAATATTATAATATTTTATTGTGGAATTATCAAACTTGTGATTATTTTGTTATTTCATGTAAAAAAAAACTGGTTAATCAGTTAATTAGTTAGTAATTTGCTCAATACTAATTGGTCTTTTACCCTATCAATGAGACAAGAGTATGCTTTTATTTTTAATTTTATTCTACTTCATTATTAATTAAATAAAATTAAAACCTGACTATTATTACATAACTTAAATTTTTTTTTTGTTACTTTCTTAGCTAAAAAAATTTGTGCATCAAATTTTGAATATTCAAAATTAAAGACCACCTCAATATACATTTATAATTATGTAGATGATGATGATGTATACGTAGACGATGTGGAAGATCTTGTCAAATGGAATTTTAAGATAAGGGTGGGTGACTCCAAGTAGTTGGATAAAGGATAAAAAAAAAAATTAGAAGGATAATTTTTTATTATATATTCTATAATGTATTTTATCCAGAACAACAATAATATCGTGATTTACGTTAATTTATGTAATTACGGTTTTTACAATTCCCATATATGCAGATTATAAATATAAAAATAAATATATAAATATAAATATAAAATTCGATGTAAATTTTAATGTTTTTTCTTTCTAACCTATAAAAACTCTAAAATTAAATAAAATGATTCGGAAATTTTTCAAAAAAAGAAAACCTTATTTTTTTTAAACTTCTTTTATTTTGTACATTAAAAAAATGTTGAAATTTCGATTTTAAACATACATGAATTACACATGCTTAACTTTGTTACATTTCTAAGGAACAAAATTTTTGTCGTACATTATAAATATTATAACACTCTTTATATACAATTGTACATGTGTATAAAATATGTATAGTTGAATGAAAAAATTCTAATAACGAAATAGATGGACTATATATTAATTATATTGCCAAAAACATCCAATTTATGTTAAAGGTAAAAAATACTTATAAAATAATTTGTTAATCTACATATAAACATTTTTAAATTGCTATTCTAAATTAATCTTTGCTGGGTAGGTCGATTGCATTGGTTGTATTGTTCTGGAACTTGTTGATAGATTTGGTATTCATGTTTCAATTGTTCTTTAAGGACAACAGCCATGTTGTTTTCTATCATATGTCTAAGGTTTTGTTCCAGTTCAGTAGCAAAGGTTTTGTCATTGGATAAGTTAAATCTAAGACCTTTTAATTCGAAATTGACGTCAGAAACGCGGAATTGGCGTCCTCCCATATGTTGACTTACATTTTCCAGGATAGCGGTAGCAACGATTTCGTTGGCTTGGAATTGAACGTTTCTGAAGGTGGTTTGTTGTTCACCTTTTTGGACGGTGATGTCATTTTTCCATGATGGTTGTTTTGCCAAGACGATGTTGACCTTGAATCTGTATCCGTTTCCAGATTTGGTTGGACGAACAACAACAGATGCGATTTTATTGGTATTAGTTATAGATTCTTCTTGGAACTGTCCATTAGTTAATATAACTTTGAAACCAGTTTTCTTGTTGTAAATTTCCATGTTGGTGATAGTTTCTGAAGGTATAGAAAATTCTTTTGTAACTTCGTGTCTCATACATCCGATTAAACCGTTGTAAGTGCCTTCATACAATTTATTTTCAAAAGTTCTTTTCAAATTACGTAAGTAAGATGATTCAGCATTTTGATAGATAAGTTGATCATTTTCCAATTGTGATGCGAATTCCATGTTCATGTCCAATTTTTCGTTGAAAGTGTCGACGGTCTTGAGATTCTTATTGTACAACTCAGTAGTTACGCAAACGTCAGTGTTCAACATTTTAACTTTTAAATATCCTTTTTGTCCGTTATTGGTCTTAAAGTTACCATTAATCAGTAAATCGTTAAAGTGATAGTCAACTTCGACCTATAAAATAAAAATTAAAAAAATAAAATATTATTACTATAGGAATTTATTCTATAAGAACTTACATTGTTATATTCAGTGTTCACTTTCACTAATTTGATGGTTCCATGTTGTAGACCGTTGATTTTGCTTTCGTTAATGTTCAAGAATTGATGGTTTGGTAAAGGTACGACGACTTGTTGTACTTCAACAGTTTCGTTGAACCAATCATTTTGGATTTGACCGTTGCTATTGATGTATTTTTCGATGATAGAATAAAATTTCATAATTTTTTTGGCGCAAGTATTTCCTACAATGTAGGCAGCATCGTTTTGGTTTAATCTGGAACTTTGAATGTATTCTTCATTAAAGTTTAATTCAGAGGATACTGATCCAGAACTTAAGTCAGAGTTGTAACTAACATTTTGATATTGTCTTTGTTGACGATGGCCATGATTGTGGGAGAAGGTGTGGTGGTATTCAACATCATTTTTTAAATTATGTCCTTTGTTGTACCAATATCTGTCATTATTTTTTTGGTTCCATTGCTGACTATGTTCATGGTTGTACTGTTTGTTTTCGAATTGGTGTAAGATTTCTTGGCTCTTTAGTCCATTAAGACGGTCGTTTGAATCTTTATTAATATACAAGCAATTTTATTTAATGAACTAATGTTTTACATAATTTAATTTTGTATGTATTTATTTGTTATTTCACGTATTAGTTTAAATAGTTACACGCTTATTTTACAGGTTAATTGATTTATCATTTAACACTAACATCATTTAACAGCTATCTTCATAAATAATAAAGATTTTTAGAAATTTTTTTGTACTTTGTTTAATAGTATTTATTTTTCGGTTTACATGTGCTCAAATACTTTTCAGGTTTATTCTTTTTCCATACAAGGGTACCAACTTAATTCTTTCAAATGGAAACATTCACTCTGTCGCGCTTCTCCTCACATAGGTATAATAACATTCATCTAAGGGATAAAGAATAAACTTAAACAATTTTAACTACATATTTTAGGAGATATTTAGTGATAGACGGCCAATCAATCATCCTGTAGTAAAATAATACACAAATATTTTTCAATACTGATTTATTCGGTATTATTATGAAAATTTGATCTAATTATTTGTTTTAATTTAATGTAATTTATTAATTTTTTACATAATTTTATTTATTAAGAATACAATTAATGACCAATATATTATAAAATAATAAAATTAACAAATAAATGTTATAATTAGGGTTCGGGACTTATAGCACTTAAAATCATCAAAAAAGCACTATAAAACATAAAAAAAGCACTCAAATAAGCATTTATAAATAAAAAAATTAATCAAAAAATCTCCAAAAATTTCTTAATTTTCTTTTAAATAATAAAGTACTCAATATTTGTAACTATGCTAAATATACTTTTTTAGGACTTTAGAATTAAATACTATTAAAATGAAATTATTTCATTGAAAAAAAATACGGGTATTTAATTAATTTATTCTTTTAATTATAAATTAAAATTAAAAATACAAAAAAAAAATTTATACAAAAAATTAATTCTGAAAGAATCCAAATGATGTCTGACTTCGACTTTCGAGTTGAATGACAAGAAATGTTAAATAATATCTTGTTTATGGTTTTTTTGAAAAATTAAATATAAATTTGTGTTGATATCCCAGTATGCCATAGCGGTCTAAAAATATTGTTTACCGAGAAATCCATTATAAAAAGGAAATCAACCAAGTACCACACTAGTACGACACTTCAACCATAGCTAAAGAAGTTAACGATGCCGAAGACGGCGTTGGCTATCAAATAGTTAAGATAACAAAGACAAAACCCTACTAACAAGGAAGGCAATTGAATTATTTTCCTTATTAGATCTATCAAAAACCGAAAAAATTACCTGGATAGGCTGCATCATAAAGAAAATATTTTAATGTACAAAAACAGAAAAAACATGAAACAAGCATTTTTTTTTTATTAAATCATCGAAAAAAGCAGAAAAAACTGAAAATAAGCGTTTTTTGAAAAAATCATCAAAAATAGCAAAAAAAAAGCATTTTCTAGAAAATGCTATAAGTCCCGGCCCTGGTTATAATAAATTACTAGAAATTGTAGTAGTAAATTATGAATTATATTTCTAATAATGACTAGTATTATTCTATTAAAAAAAAGTTTAGTGTACATAATGCTGGTTGAAAAAATTGATTTGAAACTATTATACTTCTTAAGATACTTACGAGCTCCAACAACAGCAATAGCTACGAAAATACTAACAAGAAGACACAAAACTTTCATATTAGTTTATTGATTGACAATCGACAAATAAGGTTGTTGAATAAGAAAAAAATACAGTATCAGTTGCTTTATATACATTTATTAACACGTATTATGATGAGTAGGTATGAATAACTTTTTACGTCAAATTCACAAATTGATGAATCGTACAATTTGCACAGTATACACAGAAATAGTGATATCATAATCGTTCAGTTAGAATGAAATCTTTATTCTTATGAAAAATTATTTGAACTTTGACCAAAATGTTATTTTTTGTTAAGTTACCTATGCAATTTGTGTAACAAATTCATTGATATTTTAATTTATTAAGTTATTGATATAAGTTCAAGTAATTCCAAGTAAAAAGTATTAATACTAAAAGTACTTTAAATATTTATATTTAAAATGAATATTCTTTTTAATGCTAAGATAGTTTTTTATTTCGTTTGTTTTTCATTGTTATACATTTTTTTAAACTGGAATAGGGTTATTTTTAAGTATTGGCTTATAGATATTATGTAGTCAATGATTTGTATAATAAAAATTTACTAAAATATCTCAACTAAATAAATTTCACAATAAAACTTATTTTATAAGACTAGGTTGGTTTTTAATGAAGGAATATCAAACACTAATAAATCGGAATAAATTATTTTAGTGATTTTTCATTAAAGATTGACTTTCTCATTATTCATTTTTTCAAAAGAGAAAATAGTTATAAATAAACATTAATATCTAATTAATTATTATATTATAAATAAGCAAATTAAATTAGCTTTGATGAATTATTTATAAAAAGTAAAAGCAATTGACATTGACCTTTCATGCTCTCAATGCTGATTCGTATCAATTAATGCAAATATAAATATTTTTGTAGATTTATTACTACTAATAATGTATCACAATACATAATAAATTACATAAAATAACTCAGATTATTAAAAATAACATTCGTTTGATTGCATCGTTAAAATTGAAGATTAATTTACGCAGAAATAGAAACCTTGCACGGAACAATTTTGTGGGGCTTACTGTATTCATCTACGCTTACATCAGCCGTCCTCAAATCGCATTCAATAGCATCCCTCCATCTCTTTTTTGGTCTTCCTCTACCTCTTCTTCCTTCAACATTCATTTCTATAACTGTTCTTACAGCTTTGATTCTTCTCTCCTTATAACATGACCAAACCATCTAAGTTTATTTTCTCTCATCTTATCCACGATTGACGCTACACCTATATTCTTTCTTATATGCTCGTTACTTATTCTATCTTTTCTAGTCACTCCACTCATCCATCTAAGCATTCTCATCTCTGCTATACTCATTCTCTGCTCTATTTTCTTATCAATCACCCAACACTCTGAACCATACATTATAGCTGGGCTCACTACAGTCTTGTAGAATTTACCTTTCAGCCTCATTGGAATTCTTTTATCGCATAAGACGCCAGATGCTTCTCTCCACTTTAACCACCCGCATTTAATCCTGTGTCTTACATCTATTGTCAATACCACAGCTCTTTTTCACAACTTATCCTAAATAATTTAAAACTTACCACATCTCCCATTAAGTCCTCGCCTATTTTCACTGAACTCCTCATTTCACCGATCTCGTGTTCTTCATTTTCAAACTCGTACTCTATATACTCAGTCTTACTCCTACTTATTCTTAATCCCTATCCTTCAAAAGCTGAACTTTACACCTTTATTCCTTGATTAATTTCTTTTCTATTTTCTCCTATTAACTCTATATCGTCAACGAACAACATGCACCACGGCACCTCTTCTCATATTTCTCTAGTAAATTAATTCATCACTATAAAAAATAAGTATGGGCTAAAAGCAAAACCTTGGTGCTTTCCTACTCTTACTCTAAAACCTTCTATGACTCCTCTTACACTATTATTTTGGTACAAGTGTCATTATATAAAATAACTATAACTATAACTATAACTATAACTATTTAATGTAATGCATTAATTATTTATTATTATTAAAGTAATATTCAGTTTAATCCAAAATTAAGTAAAATTTAAAAAATCTAAACTGAGGGTCACTATGACCCGACGTGACTGTGTAATTATTCGACGGTGACTAGTTAAGGGATATATAGAAAACCGATAGATAACAATAAGTAACAAAAGAAAGGATTTTATATTTAATTGATTTTACTATTTTGAAAATAATAAATAATTGCCATCTACTACAAAATATTTATGTTGTAAAATCAATTAAAGCTGACAATATACGGAAAACTTAGTGTATATAAAATATTTTTTAATACCTGAAAGTACTAAAAAATAAAACATAGTGGAGTTTTGGTATTTGACCATTTGCATATTTAATTATTTTTTTAACATAAATAATATTATACATTAAAATAAAATTACTCTTTCATTGGTGCCGGAACCGAGATGAGAAAGGGAGGCAGTTGCGCCCTTAGACAAGTATAATTAATTAATTAAAAACAGATATTTTAGTCAGTTCATAGCATAATAAACCATCAATAAAAAATTATATAAATTAAAAAAAAAATTAATATTCCAATATTTTACTACCCTACCTTCCTTACAGTACCTTTTTATTAATTTTAATTTTGGTTTATTACATTATCTGCATCTAAATTTATATAAATATATTATCCTATTTTAAAAGTGTAATTAAAAATAACTATTTAATGTAATGGATTAATTATTTATTATTATTAAAGAAATATCGCGCTGGAATTGATTTTGTATTGCTCAACAATAAGGTTTAAAATTTTTATTGTCTAGTCATTTTTAAAAACCGTTTTTCAACACAGTAAAAATTTTACCTAGTGGTAAAATTATCTACTGCTAAACTTGAATATAAAATATTAAAATGCACAAAAATGTATACATGGAACTATATGAGTCGTAAATCATTTTTTTTTAGTTATTTTAGTCAGTTCATTTCTAAAGATCTACTTCATTCTTATTGTTAATTACTAAAAATCCTTTGATGTAGCTATTTTTATAAATTTATTATATTAAAAATGTCTTCATTTACCTCTAATTGTCCTAAAAAGATAAATATTCTGTAGTAATGAATTATGTAATTGATTACATAATTAATGATATGTATGTCACTATTAATGATATGTATGTATGTGCGTCTGTATACGCCCTTTAAATTACGTTATTTATATTATTATATTAACTCGGGAGTAACAATTTATCTATTAATCTATTCAAGAAAAAAAGCGCATTTATTATTTTATAGGTATTTTATGGAAATCTTTTTTGTACATTTATGTAGTATATTCTTTGACCTTATGTGTAGTGTTTTGTACTAACATTTTTGTAATTTAATAATTTGTAAAACTAAAAGAAAGGTACTAAATAACATAACTGTCATGTGCCATAAACTATTACCAAATGGCCTACGTCTTTTAAGTCATCAATTAAGTGATCTAGGATATATTTGTATTTCGTAGCTAGTTGTGACAATATGATATCTCAAATTACATCTTAATCTCCTATATTCATTTATATATAATTATATTATTATTAAGATATTCTATTATAGAATATGTTTTACTATTTACTGTGTAATTTTAAGATACCGAAACCTTAATATATTCCATCTCAACATTTCAAGTATAATTAATTAATTGAAAACATTGATCGCAAAATAAACAATGATATTCTAATTATAATATACTTTAGAATTTAATAATTATAAATTTAAATTGCAAATTGGATATTATGATTCAATTAACGATAGTGATAGATATTATTTTATTTTATTTAGATTTATTTTATCTTATTCTTAATTGTATACAGTAAAAAACTAAATAATAATCTATTAAAATACAATTATTATTTATTTATATTTTCAAAATACAACAGACATTCTTTAATGGTTAAAACTAACGCATTGGTTGTATTGTTCTGGAACTTGTTGATAGATTTGGTATTCATGTTTCAATTGTTCTTTAAGGACAACAGCCATGTAGTTTTCCATCATATGTCTAAGGTTTTGTTCCAGTTCAGTGGCAAAAGTTTGGTCGTTGGGCAAGTCGAATCTGAGACCGTAAAATTTGACATCGACATCAACAACGTTGAAATGGCGACCTCCCAATAATTGGTTAATACCTTCCATGGTAGCTGTGGCAACGATTTCGTTGGCTTGGAATTGAACGTTTCTGAAGGTGGTTTGTTGTTCACCTTTTTGGACATTGATGTCGCTTTCCCATGATGGTTGTTTGGCCAAGACAATATTGGCCTTAATTCTGAATCCGTTTCCGGTTTTGATTGGGCGAACGGCTACAGATGATATTTTGTTGGCGTTGTTAGAGGCGAGATCTCTCCAATTTTGGGTTTCGGCTAAAGTGACTTTAAGGCCAGATTTCTTGTTGAAGATTTCCATGTTCTTGGTGGATTCCATAGGGAAGAAAATTTCTTTTAGGGCTTCGTGTCTCATACATCCGATCAAGCCGTTGTATGTGTTTTCGACCATTTGGTTTTCTATGGTTCTCTTCCAGTAACGCAAGTACAAGGCTTCAGTGTTTTCGTTCAAGATTTGTTCTCTTTCCAACAAAGATGAGTTTTCCATGCTCATTTCCAATTTTTCGTTGAAGGTGTCAACGGTCTTGAGGTTCTTGTTGTACAATTCAGTTGAAACAGTGACGTCGGTGTTCAACATTTTAACTTGGAATCTTTCTCTTTGACCGTTGTTAGTTTTAAGATTTCCGTTAACCAACAAGTCGTCGAAATGGTAGTCAACATCGACCTGTATAGTTAAAAATTATAATAAAAATATAGTTTTATTTTAAATGTAATCATTTAATACTCACGTAGTTATTTTCAGTGTTCAGTTTTATGGACTTGATGGTTCCTTGGTGAAGACCGTTGATTTTGTTTTCGTTCATGTTCAAGAATTGATGGTTTGGTAAAGGTACGGTGACTTGTTGTAATTCGACGGGTTCGTTAGACCAACGGTTTTGGATTTGACCGTTGCTGTTGATGTATTTTTCGACGATGGAGTAGAATCTGACCATTTTTTTGGCGCTGATGTTTCCTACGATGTAGGCAGCGTCGTTTTGGTTGTTTCTAGCGATTTGCAAGTATTCTTCTTGGGAGTTGGATTCAGAAGAAATTGATCCGGAGCTTACATCAGAGGTCAATCCAGAATGTTGTTGGTGTTTTTCGTAGGATACTTGACCGTATTGTTTGTTGTGTTCACCGTAGAATTGGTGGTCGACGTTGTATTTTTGGTTACGTCCTTGGTTGTACCAGTTCTTGTCGTTGAAGTTCAAACGACCATTGTTGTGTTGGTTCCATTGTTCAGTTGGGCGAACGTTTTCGATGTCACGGGTGTCTGAAATATTATTAAAACTAGTTATATAGAAAATAATAACGTTCGTTAAAATTAGCTGTATTTATTATAAAAATTAAAAATACTACATTAATCTTTAGATTAACATCATAATGAAAAATACTAAAAAAAAATTTAATTATAATAATTTTGAATAATTATACTTTAATTTAGCATTTGAGTTACATATATTTTTATATTTTCTAGTTTTAAATTAATATTTTTGATTCATTTATTAATTTCTATTACTAGAATTCATCATATATAAATATATGTTTATGAGTTTAATAATTTATACTTACAGGCTTCAACGATAGCGGCGGCCAATAAGGCACCGGCGAAAAGGCACAAAAATTTCATTGTATGTTGTTCAATACTCGCAACAAGTGAATGAATGATTTTTTGAAGGCATTTTGCGGTTTTATATACTATTATTTTTCATTTTTGATGAGTTGTTGATGATAAGTAATTTTTTTTTTTCTAGTTCTTGGAGCTGATGAGTAGTAAAATTATGCTCTTTAAATAGTTGATAAAATTTTTCCTATTGTATGGCCAAATAAATGAACTTTATACCTCGAGAGAATTTAATGATTGTTAATTAACAATTGTGTTCAATTACAAGTATGTAAATTTAACTTGCTAAATATTGCAATAACTTTAAATGCTTGATTGGCAAAATTGTTGTAGATTCAAGTCGTTCAGCTAAATAATGTTTTCCTGAATTGTGTTATAATTATCATCCCATTGGCCTTAGTATATTTTTTATTTAAAGTATTTTCACTTTACCTTTCTCTTACTTTATTTGTTTTTAAAATAAACTTATTATTTAACTTTCAATTAAATAATCTTATAGATTTATATAATTATAGTTAAATATTATTAGGAACTTTTAAGTGGTACGATTTAGAATACGAAAGAAATTGTTTTTTTAAATAATTTATTATAATATGAAATAAATTTTTTACAGTTTTGAAAATTAAATAGCACGTTGTATATTTTAATTTGTAATACTTCTAGACTATTTGATTTACTGTTTATTAATTATTATTTAAAATATATATTTTATACAGAATATATTGTCACATTAATAATAAAATAAAATTTTATTCACTCAGACAGTTATTTTTTTTTAAACTTGTAATAAATTGCACAATTTTGAGATAATTTAACAATGATCAGATATAGTTCATTGTTGTATCCTTAGAGTTTCTTCCAGAAACTAGAAAATATACACATAAATATTTTTCTACTCCATCTATTTTTATTATGGGTAGATCTATTTCCATTATTCCTTGATAAAAATGCTCATGATAGTCCAATCATCTACAGAATGATAGGAATTTTTATAAGAAACTCATTTTCTCAGAAACTATTGAGAATTTTTAATTTTTGTAAAGAGAAAAAATATTAAGATCATGAAATTCTACAACAATATATGTATATATATAGTCAAATAATTCTTTTTTTTCATCCCTTCAGGTTTAAAAACCTCAACTTTGATTTTCTTAAACAGAAAACTCTATTATTAACTTGATATTATGATAAAAAAAAAAATTAAAAACAATTTTGTTCTAAAAATTTTTTCTATCCGAATAATTGTTAGTGTTTTATAATTGTTTAAATATTTGGATTTCAAGAAAAAATTTATTTATTTTGTTTCATAATATCGGTGGCAATGCTTTTGGTATTATTGCTGTCACCATGATAGCAAAAATCTGTTTCGATAAATTATTTATTACAGTAGTTATCAAGAAAAATTTATATCTGTATCTGTAATCTCATAAACACAGGTTGACCCGATTGGAACCTTTTTTATTATCTCTCATTTAGTATTTTATTATTAAATTTTTACTGCTATCTTACTTGACATAACTTGGTAAATAAAAATTAATTTATGTTACACAATCGATAAATAATGACTTCTGTATTCAAAACAGAAATAAACAATAGAAATTTAGTCTAAAATCATTTAACTTTAGTTGTAATAGATTGATCGGATAAAAAAAATTTAAAGAACAAAATTGTTTGTGATCTTTTTTGTCTGTTTTTTTTCAAGTTAAAAATATGGATTTCCATTTGAGAAAATTAAAGTTAAGGTTTTTTAACCCCGAAGGGATGAAAAAAAAGAATTATTTGACTATATATATACATATATTATTGTAGAGTTTCATGAACTTAATATTTTTTCTCTTCACAAAAATTTAAAATTCTCAATAGTTTCTGAGAAAATGGGTGAGTGGTTTACCACATTTTGCTAACTCTGTATAATTTTATATACTTGCTTTTAAATTAAATGTTTTTATGATTTTGGCAGTAACTAACTTTTCTCACTTTTCAAGTTATTGAAAATAAAAATTACTCTCTGATTACATGCTATATATTTATCAATTTTCTTAGTAGTTTAATTCCAATTCAATCCAAATTGTTAGTATTTTGATGAATGTTATTATAAAAAGAGTAAAAACTAAATTCAAATATCTCATAATGGATTTTTTTGAGTTACTGCCTTATAGCGATATGAGCAGTAGCTTGATTATGAAGTGTTATTTTCTTTAACAAATCAAATAGTATGTCAGAAATCTACAAACTAGCGAAAACGTTAAAAAATATTGAATATATCTTTTTTTTTATATATAAAATTAGCTTAGTCGTTAAATTATGGGCGATAAATTTAGAGTAAAGCGAGCGGCTCTGTGAAATGATGAATCAGTAAAAAATTTGTCCTAGTCTAGCATAATTTGAAATGACTCTTTGAGGTGATGGTAAATATAACATCATGATCAACAAACATTAAATTCATCACCTAGTCGTCAAGATAAACTTAAAGTTTAAGCCTGTTAAATGCCATATTTAATAATAGAATAAATTTATTTAAACAAATTTATAAGTACTTAATTTATACCTGTGGGTTGTATCGCTTTATATCTAGAATTTATCATTTATTAAGCATTTTTTTTTAACAACTTTTAAATAGATGTGTGATAGTAAATTTGTTAAAAATAAAGAACAAAGATAAAATACAAGAATATTTTTTAAATTTTGAATTATTAAAAACAAAAGATAACAATTGTGACAAAAGAAATTATTGTGTCATTTAAATATTATTGGCAACCAGTATAATAAAATACTGGTTGTTACTTATTTAGCACTTTTACATGTTTAATGATAAGGTTTATACTTAAAGTACATCTTGCATAAAATGATTAGATTTTATATTTTTCATACATTTTGTATATGATAAGACAAAGTTTATACTTACTGTACAATTAATACATCATAAAGATATGGTTTATAGTTATACTACACTCTGTATATGATAAATTTATGGTTTATATTTATGTACACCTTTATATAACTTAAATTGGTATAGAATAAAAAGCATGGGTAAAAATTTTAATTAATTTTTTTTTACATTCGTTATAAAACCATACATTTAAAAATACCAAAAGTTTTTTTTATTAATTTATTTAAGTATAGTGTCATTTTAATGTATAATTATATTATGATCACTATATGTTTAAATGGAGAAATTGCAGTATTTATATAGAGAATATTTTGATTAATATTTGCCATTGTAAAATTTATTTGTGTATATATTTCGTGATTTACAGAAACAATTTAAGAGATATCATAAATAATAGGGTTCATACTTACAATACACTTGTAGTGACAATATACAGCGTTTATGATTATAAGACATAAGTAATTAGAATTTAGAATGAAAAACCCAAATTGTGATTTTTTATGACTTTAGTGAAATATTCTTTTTTTAATGAAAAAAAAGTACCGCGTATCTTTATTGAGTTAATATGGAAGGAATCTAAAGAAGTAGAACTCCCAATACTCTACGTTGTAAAAACTACCAAATAACTTTTACAATGCAATATTTTGTAAGATGCTTACAAAATAATACCATTTTCTCTTGATGATTGCCTAAAAATCAAATTAATTATCCTAAAAATAAGTTAAATTCAATAAATTCGAAAATTTAATTCAATTTTACATTATAAATACTCAATTGTTTTTAGTTTTAGTGGATTTTTATGACTCTTTGAATTTTTATTAACCCTATTTTTAATAAATAAGTTATTATAACTGTAATAAACAAAAAGAAGGATAGTAGAGATAAGTGATAAGAAGAAGGGATAGTGTGCGATTAGTAGGAATGGGATGTAAAGGAAAGTATTGGCTATGATCGTAGTTAAGTATAAAGAAAGTAAGTGTGGCTAGGGGTATTGGGCAATGACTATAATAGAATGCAATAGAAGGGATCTCGGCTATGTATGTCTTTATAAATGCGTCTGATATATATGGGTAAGATGAAATATCGACGAAAGATTACTATTTAGTCCTGAACAAATATGTAAACATGAATATGTGTGAATCACGAATATCGTACTTCTTTATTCAATTATTCTACTTAATTTGTTTTCGACAACCTGCGTCACTCTGATTATTTATTACTGAATATCATTTGATGAAGGTATTATTATAGATTTATAATATAAATGAACATTTCACTTACCTATAATTGTCCTGATAAGACGAATATCTTATGATGAATCATGTAGTTGATGTCACTATTAGCAGTATGTGTATACGCATTTGAAATAACTCGGCTTTTATTAATATATTAACTCGCGTGTAACTATTTCTCTAGTACAACTCTATATTAAATTAACTTAAGATAAAAATCCAATTTATTCTTTGGTATATTATGTAAACTCTTTATGTGTGTTTATGTGGTGTACTCTTTGGCCTTGTAAGTAATACTTTATAGTAACGCATTTATAATTTTAATAATTTATAAAACCAATAAACAACATTACTGTCTTGTGCAAGAATTTCTTGCCAAGAAAACTATTTCCAAGTGGCCAACGTCTTTTCAATGATCTAGGGTAGATGCAAGCTCAATTTAAGTTCTTTGCAATACATTATACTAGTATCCTACACTCAGATTACCCGCACTATTCCCTTTCGGAAAACGGTTGAGATCAGACTGACTAGTCGAAAAGTGGAGAGACACTTTAGAGAATGATTATAATTAGTTAAAACCTTGACTACGATATTATTATGCTAGTTCTCTGTCCAGCCAAGTTATGGCGCTTCAATAAGTAATAAAACACAAAGCAATCTAATCATATATTTTTTTGAAGTGTATATATATATATATATAAATAAATAAAACAAATACCAATATTTTATATGCTTGAATATCTATATCACCAAAGGTGTTCGACCGAAAATAAGAGACATAATATTTCTTCTAAGTTCTAGCAATTAGAAAGGGAATGTAAAAAAAAAAAACGATGAAGATTTGATATAGAATTGTACCCAGAGAGAAATATGTACTCACACAGACTCCATATATGTGTGCTGACCGAGAATTCCAGAGAGACTAGAAGAGTCATGTAATTGTAACTATCATCGCAATAGAAGGCGTCGTCGTAACCCAAAGGGA